GGGGCGTGTCCCCTTCCTTCCACAAGGGGGCGGGCGACGACTGGGGGGGAATGACCTGGCTCGCTACCTCTGGACGGATAATTTCGCGGCCCGTCTCTCTTCTTTTTTCCCCCCTTTTCCATCCCGGCGCGCCCACCCCGCCGCCGCCTGCCCGCCCAGGTGGGGCTCCACTCCGCTCCACTCCGCTCCACTCAGCCCAGCGCAGGCGAGGGGCGGAGCTACAATTAAAATTACGTAGCAATGAGCAACCCCCCGAGTGCGTCGCGCCCCGCCCGCCGGGGGGGTGGAGGGCTCAAGCCGAGGCTCAAGCCTTGATGCTCAAGCGCGCGGGTCCCCGGGGCTGACGGCCTGGCATGTCGGGGGCGCCACGGGCACCCGCCGCCCCTAGGGGTCGTTGACTCGTCTCCCCCCCTACACCACCCCCTGCTCCCAGCCCCGACGGCGACTTCACCTGCCCCGCGCTCCTGGAGTGTGGAGGCGATAATAGCCACACGAGCTTGCGCAAGTTGGGTGCTCACAGCAAGTCGCGGCCCGTCATGTGTGATGGCGGTGCTGAGTGGCGCTGAGCGGTGCGGTGCGCTGTGCGGTGGTGAGGAGCAATGTCGCCCTTCGCCTCGCTCACAGAATAACAAATTGTCCGGCCCGTGGCGTGACCTCCGGGGCGTTCTGGCCGTCCTGTAACTTTGGTCTTGACAGTGAGGGTCCGTCGCGTCGCCCCGCCCGCAGGCACCGGCCCCGAGGCCTCTGAGCTGGAGGCGCAGCCGAGTGGCGCGGGGGCGCGGCGGGGCGCGGGGCGGCGGGGCTCCCGAACCTGCTGCCCGCTGCGGCGAGCGCTGCGCTGCCGCCAGGTCGACGCTCTCAGGTGGACGCCGAGGGCAGGGTCGACGTCCCGCCCGCCACCGCAGCGCCCCAACCCAAAGCCAGCCTCGCCGGACCAACAGCACGTTGTCCACCAGGCCGCGAACCGTACACAAGAAACGCCCCACGCCCCGAGCAGTCGCAAGAGGGCCTACGCGGTGCTCTAGTCACTCGTCGGCTGGCCGACCGGGCCAGACAGGCCAACATACCCTGGCCAAACGGGTTTGGTGCACCAGCCCGACGCCACGGCGGCGGTGCCGGGTTGTCCTCCTTCAGGCCCGTCACCACAGAGACGGCCTCGGAGGACGTGCGGAGAGAAGGCGCACAACGAAGAGCCCCGCACTTCTTATTCCATCGCGTTCAAGATACTAGACTAGAGCTTGCGGCAGACTGCTCTTGGGGCGTCTTCCCATCCGACTCGACACCCCGTAAAATGACGTAGCAATTACCTGGTGGAATATTGTGAGCAACAGTGCGACCCTGCTCGCGCTATCGGGCTGTGTCTAGCCCCGGGCATCTCCCCCCACCCCCCGCAGCGCCATCCCCCATCAGAGGACGGAGAGGGGTGGGAGGGGGCTGGGGCGCAGGCGGGGGATGGCAAGGCCCGGGCCAGAGCATTGATCGCCATCAGCTGTTACCGGGCGGGCTCTGGCTACATGACCTTGGTCCACACAGCATCCCCTTGCAGGACCTCGGCTGGTCGCCCTCCTGCCAACGCATCCCCCCGGAGCTTAGTCGACGAGATGAGGGACTTTGCGTTTGGCGATGGTGTTCGTCTGTAGTCGAAGCCGACCCGAGCCGGGCACTCGCTAACGCTGCCGAGTCCCGTTCCCAGCCCCCCCCCCCTTTCCCTCCGCCGCTCTAAACAGCCCTTGGCCTCGCGGAACCCACCCCCAGCCGGTCCTGTCCAGCCAGCAGCCAGCCCCCTCGCTGCATGCATATCACTGTTGCCAGGCGACCTTGTTGCTAAGGCAGGCGGCAGGCAACCCCCGTCCCCCCTCACCCGGAGAGCTCGGGCGCTCGCATACACACACGCGGTTAAGTGGCTTGCTGGTGTTATACGCGGCTTGAGGTCCAGGGTGTGAGAGTGTGTGGAAGTGGTGGGGAGGGAAAAGGGGGGGAGGTTGAGTTGCAGCTCAGGGGTGGCCAGAAACGTGCAAAACCCATGCCACCACCGCCCGCCTGCAAACTACATTCTGCTGCAGGAAACTGACCTATTTTCGCCCTCGCCGGCCTTGGCCGCTGCACTACCCGCTACTGCACTCGCGCGACGCGTTGTGCTAGAAGTCCGCCCCGCCCCGCCAGCGCGCCGTCCGTGACCCCCTGTGGTGGTCTGCACAGAAAAAAAAATATAATCGCGAGATAGTGAGCAAATCTGGTGTACATCTGATTTCCCCTCTCCCCCGTTTAATTACTCTCGTTGGTTTAACAGACGATTAACAAGTTATTATATCAAGCTCGGCTACGCGAATCGCGAATGTTAGAAAGGCGATCGCAGGGAACAACTTTTGGAAAAATTTCTGTTAGCATCCTGGCCAATCTCATTTCGCAGCCTCAACAACAAACTCTGCCCGGTCGTCAGCTGCAGCACAGGGCATCTTGAGGGGCAGAGTATGGTGAGTGGGGGAGTTATCGACCAGTGCAATTGGGGAAACCCGAATCAGTGGGAGGAAAGACCGGCGGCTGGAGTCCTAACCCGGACAGCGCTGCCAGCACTGGCCACGGCAGCTCCGCATGAGCCGGCCACGGGTGACAATCATAATTCAACAAAACGGGAAACATATTGGAAAAGAAGGTGTACCTCGATGAAATTGGGTGATTGAATGCAGGCCGTGAATAAGGACCTGCATAGCACATATTTATTGTATTAAACTATCTCTTGACATACATACATACATATATACCTATCTTTAACATATCTTATGTAATTTGTAACTACAGGCAAAACTGTGTGCCTGATTTATGCACATGAACTTCCCTCAAAGGACAATACTGTTTAAAAATGAATAATATAACATATCCATCAAGTCTCTTTTGAAAATTACATTAGTTGCACTCTTTAATATATTTTGGAAAAGTGTATAATGCAATGGCATCCTGACACTCAAGTGCACACCAGAACAGAATCACAAGTGAAGTGAATGATACACAAAAACCTTAAAGTTACATGAGAATTTTACCTTCTACTGCCCTTCAATTAATCATAATGTACTTCATACAAAAATGTAATGAGGCTGGTAATGCACAAAGAAAATTCAGAACCCATAAATGACAGATGTATTGGCATAATTAAAACCTGAGGTGAGACCTATTATATAGGTGACTCCCAAAAACAGCCTGTAAGCTTCAATGCAGTAGAACGGCATAATTAATTCTGATAAAAAAAACTATAATATGCCTATCTTAATTTCAGCAAGCACATAATAAAGCAGGTGGAGCACAGTGTGAGGAGTAAGCCCTGAATACAATTGTAAATATGGCAAACAGATATGAGATATATTACGGATCATATTGTCAATCCCTTGCACAGGTTATAACAGCAAAAACCAAGAATGAATCAAATAGAGAAGTGAATAAAAAACTACAAGCACAATAAAATCACATCAGTCATGAGGGCCACTTTTAATCCTATGGTTTTGTCATCATAGCACCATAGACCATGAGTTTACAATAAGACAGGTAATGATTATCAGAAACGTAACTAGCACAAACTGAAGTCTACCTTTTTCCAAATTGACAAATTCTGTTAATTCTAAATTAAAATCTGATTCTAAATAACCCTTGATCCTACAGGGTGGTCCACAGACCCCTTCCTTTTATTTGCTTATACTGTACCGGATGCAGGCGTGCGGACGGGTTGCATACTCGCACGGGGCCATAAGGCGCCCATGGTGAGCGACAGTAGGCAAGCCCGCCCGCACGCATGCATGCGGTACAGTATAAGCAAAATAAAGGAAGGGGTCTGTGGACCACCCTGTATCTATCTGAATGATGAAGTGGATTTTTGAGTTCTCATCTCCCCCTTATCAAAAAGTTTTCCTTCAAGGTTAGATTTGTTGATGCGCAATTGAGTGAGATGGTAACAGTAATCCACCTCCTTTGAAAACGCTGTTAAAGTTCCTACTCACTGTTGTTTTCATGTAAAAGCTTTAAGACTATACATCTATTGCAGTAAGCACACAACTAGAGATCTCCTGTTCACAAGTAAATTATTAAACAAAAGGTCTGAGCAATGACAGCACAGGTTCTTTCTTACAACTGCAAACCTATCAACGATTTGAAACCCAAATGTGAATTAGGTAAAACATTACCTAAAAAGTAAGAATGAATTGCTATTAATCTTTAATAGAATCAGCAATCAACAAAATGATGGGAACATAAAAATGCTGATTTGTAAACTGTTTTCTGTTCAGATGTGTGCACCACATGCACATGTTGGTGCAACATTATCAAAGAAATATCGGAGAAAATTTCTTTCACCAACACAACAATCAATCATATTGTCCAATTTCTTCATCTAAAATTTTAATACCAAAATATACTACAGATCCTGTAACTGCAATGCCGAATGAATTTTAATAAGAAATGAGCTTGACAGTATTTTATACTCTTCTCAGTTATCAGTTAACCAGATATATATTTAAGTACAGGATATTTTATTGTAAAAAGGTAGGTTCTAACGATAAAATTTGTAACAGATCCAATCAATCAGTACACAAAGCACAGCAGATAAGAAAAGGCTGCCGAGAGAATCTGGAAATGTCATAACACTGACAAAATAAATAAAATAAAACAATACAATTATCTACTTATGAAAGCAGTCAAATTGGAAGAACCTCTAGCAAGGAAGGGTAAGCTAACCCACACAAATACGGATCCACTGTGGTCTGCCAATAAAATGTACAGGTGGCTTGCATTACTTCAACACCTATTATTGTGTATACAGTATGACAATTTAGAATTGGAACTCTGTGCTCAGAAGGGCCATAGAAAACAAGGTCTCAGTTCAGAATACTGTTGATGTCCCTACCCAGGTTCTCCTCCTCAAAAAGGTGCCTGTAGTATACATTTGTTAACAATCTACATAGTAAGTTCTCTTACTTCTAGTAAAATGTCCTAATTGAGATTGATTGGTTGGTTGAATGATTGATTGATTGATGGGACCGAAGGGGGAGTGCGGTCAATAATGCGGATGCCAAGGGGTAACCCTGCTGGCTCAGGCCTCCCCTGGTCAACCTAGGAAAGAAAAGGTTGCACTGCTGTGTTATAATAATAATAATAACCATGAGAGAAAGACACCCTGCAATACTCTGAGCTTCCCAAAGGAAAACTGTGAATGATGTTTCTGAAGATTTTACTAACAGTACTATTGGATCTTTAGATTAAAATATCAATAGACTAAGAACAAGGAATCATTTGGCAAGATCATATATTCATTCACTGCTACTTCAATTGCAAATATCTAGCTGCCAAGTACAGTTCAAATAATAACTAATATGAATAAATAAATGGATCGGCCTTGGCCAAGTAATGTCAGACCCAGCTTAGTTCACACCACTAAAAAATACAGTCAAAGAAAATTTAGAAAAGCAGAAATGCAACTGATACAAGAAACCATAATAAATCAATTGTTAGAGCAAGTAGAAAATTTGCCTATAAACCCTGACTGTATATACATATAATTTAACATAAACTCAAAATAACATAACCAGTATAAACGAAACAGATAAAGAAAACAGAGTGATCAAAGACTTCCTAGGTACGGTTAAATGCTACAATGTAGCATATGGTAACATGTTTTGGATACATGTGCGCTCATTTCACTTATTTTGTACTGGGGAAATGGGCATGCTGTATACGTACACACCACTAGTAAAGAGTAGCTTTGTACTGCCCCTGGATTTGCAGAGAGAAATGTATCAAGAATACCAAGTTAAGAGATACAAATTTATAATATTTTGCCATCAGCTGGGTGGTTAATTAAGAGGGTGAAGCACTAGAAGTAAGAGTGGATATTTAAAAAAAACAAAAAACAGTAATATTGGTTTTGACTTTGACTCACTGAAATGGCACACTCAAGACATAACATGAACCTTTCCTATTGCTGCTGCAAAGGATGAACAAAGCTCTTATGTTCAACAAGCTCAATTACTGAGGCCTGACTGTGATCCATGTAATGCTGCTCTCCACCTGCTGATTGAGGATGAGACTGGGGGTGGCTCTGAGGCTGAGCTTGCTGTGGTGGCTGTTGAGGTTGAGTGGGTTGAGAAAGACTCCCATGAGCAGGATTTTGCTGAACTTGAACTTGTGCTGCCTGTGCTTGCGCTTGCGCCTGAGCTTGACCACCTGCACTTCTTTGGTGTGGCTCCAGGTGCTGGCGTTCATGAAGCACTAAGTGGTTCTTTTGCAGGAATGCTTTACCACATTTGTCACACGCAAAACGTCTAATTTCACAACCACCATTAGTATATCTTTTATTGTGTTGTAAAAGTCCATGCTTTTGAGTAAAAGCACGCCCACAATCTTGACACACATGGGGTTTGGGCTTAGGCACTACAGCAGGGTGACCATGAAGATGGTTTTGTCTTGCCCCCTAGAGGAGTAATAGGAAAAATAAGATACATGGTGGAAATAATATGTTTAAAAATATAGTCATAATAAACCGTTAAATTTTTACCTTCATATGATGACTTCCATGACCGTTTCCATGACCATGCACAGTGTGACCATGAACATGGGAGGGATGAGGCTGGGATTGACTGGAGACAGATTGCGCCCCTGGAGGTTGAGGTGTCTGAGGTTGAGATGGAGTTTGTGATTGACTGCTTTGCCCTTGAGAATGACCAGCTGGACCTTGATTTGCTCCCGAGGCTCCTTGACCAGAGCTGAACAACTGATTCAACCCAGGTTGTTGGTGCTGGAACGCAGCCGCCAAGCTGCACAAGTCAGTCACAAAACTTCTATCACCAGCATGCAATCTCAAGTGTAATGAGAGACCTTCTCGACTTGAAAAACCATTGCCACATTCTCTGCAAGAGAGAAGAAAAAGGAATTTTAAACAGATTCATAGAAGAGGCTCCAACCCACTCTTTCTGAAAAACTACAGTAAATCAAATGCTACTTTTCCCAGATAATTCTACCGAAAATAAAAAAAACTCACCGACAGACGAAATTTTTCTCTTTGTCACCACAGGTATGAGCTGTCAGAGCTGATTTTGCGGTAAATGCCTCTCCACAATGAATACAAGAATAAGGATGTTCTGTTTCATCAGAAGCTGTATGAAGTCGTGAGTGAGCTAATAGAGTTCGCTTTTGAAGAAATTCTTTCCCACACACTGCACAAGAATGTGGTACCCTGCCATGGATCCGACCATGATTAACCAGCTCAAATTTACGAGCAAAAGAGACACCACAATCTTGACAGCTATATGGGCGCTGGCCTCCATGAAATCTGAAAACAAATTGTACTGTTAAGTCAGAAATCATTTATACCTCACTTTTCTTTGGATAAAAGTCAACATGGGTGGTAAATATACAAACAAGAAAAGGCCTCTTCTTACCTTGAATGCATTATAAGGTGCTCTTCCTGTGAGAACGATTCCCCACATTCAGGGCACACAAATGGTCTTTCTCCGGAATGAAATTTCCCATGAGTAACAAGATGCCTTTTTTGTGGGAAAGTACGCCCACATTCTTGACAGACGAAAGGACGGTCCCGACTGTGAACTCGAGCATGTGTCACCAAGTGATGTTTAAGAGTGAAAGATTTGTTGCATTCTTGGCAAGTGTAGGGTCGGTCTGACGTATGAAGTAGAAGATGAGTGCTGATAAAAGAAAATAAGTTTAGAGTAATTCTAAAATGAGCGAGGAAATATCAATATTAAATCCATCAAAGTATACCTCAGGCAATGCTTGTGGGCAAAACTTTTACCACAATGAGGACAGGCATGTGGTCTTTCACCAGAATGGACTCTTGCATGAGTGACAAGATGGTGCTTGAGAAGAAACGTTTTTCCACAGTCTTCACAGGTATGTGGTCTTTCTTTTACAACTTTATCACTAGAAGCTGGATTGGATGGATTGTGCATTTCACTTGAGTTGGCTGGGGGATGTGCAGGTAATGTGGGAGGTGTTATCATAGTTGCAGCATTCTTTTTTAATGAAAAGTCATTTTCATCATTTGCTGATGATAATTGAATTGGTCCGTAGGAGGACATGAGGTGCTTAGGATTTAAACTGTTTGCTTTTGATCCATCAGGGTGGGGAAACATGAGAGCACTCCCACTCCCACAAAACAGGGAGTTGGGTCCCTCACACTGACATCCTTTGTCACAGACATTGCTATAAGCCGTTGGAGCCTTTTTTCCAGATGACACTAACGGTCTATTATGCTGAGGAGTGTTTGGCTGGAGGCTATCACTCAGCAGGAACATAGTCCGATACATGAAATTATTACTATTCATGTTGAGATCCAACTTTGATTGCAGAGAGGGTAGAAGTGAATCCTGTGGTCCTTCACTGTCAACCGGTTCTTCCTTTGGCACAATACTTCCGGGAAGAGTCCCTAAATCCTTGCTATTATCTCGACCATCCAATCTTAGACGCTCCACCAAGTGGTCTGACACCACCTTCAAAGAGTTCAGTTGCATGAGCGGCTCTCATGACACCTTGACAAAGTAAATTACTCCACCCACTGAAAATAAAAGAAAAAGTACAGTAAAATAAAATTGCCAACACATAGTACTTAAGCCCTATTCAAAATAGTCCCTCCTTGCTTGCCAAGTAATAAAGATATAAAAAAATAGGACAGCATTCCGAGAGCAGCCATTCATAAGATGTTTATGCAAATACAACAAAGTAAGGCTAAAACAAACAAAGTAAATAAGAAAAGATCTTGGCACAAACTATAGAATTATTTTACTTTCAAGCGCAAAGGCTATTAGTCAGTATTGTTATTTCACTAGCTTAACAAGTGAGACAAAAATATTTAAAAGGACACGAATTCGGAAACTTTCACACTGTCCAAAATCTACTGTATAGCAAACATAACCTCAATACTAAACAAACAATACGAGAACTTTAGGTGTTCGACAAAATTGGGTGTATTGAGAAACCCAGCGAACTACCAAATGTTAAATCAACTTCAACTCATCAATGTTAAATAAAGCATACTGAAAAGTGAACATTTAATTCCTCCTACGAGAAACTTCAGAAAACCGATAGAATAATAAGGTCAGGGTATGATTTGGGGACGCAATGTATGCACACGAAAAGTTAAATTGTGTTGACTTTAGCCGAAAAGTAGAACAAGACAACAACTGCCTTAAATTTTTATTTAGAAAAAACAAGCGGATAAGTAACACTAGAATCTGACAAGTTTCTGTAGTGACAAACTTCAACTAGGCTCACATTCCCAATGTTTGTTTAGTGCCCAAGCCAGAAAACACCCATTTTCACGACGAGAGTTTGTGCACAAGCAGAGCAACGTGATCGACTTACCAGCATAATTTTATGTAACTGGTGTTTCGTCAAGCCTCATTCACGACATTAAAAACATTACATCCTTGTAATAAACGCATTAAAAGACAAGTTTTTTCACAACAAATCACATAAAATAGCTCATTCTCTCTGCCATTTTGTCACTGCTGCTGCATCAGTTTCAACTACAGGGCTGCTCGTATGGAAATAAAAGATACTGGCTGGAGGAGAACAGCTGTGCAAACTGGTAAAGTCAAATCAAAAATATGTGAGTGTGAATCAACTATCGCGAACTAGCTTTCTGGTCTACATGAAAAGAAATTGCAAGTGTCTTGTACTTAAATGTACCAAGATGTGTCGGCTGCTGTTTGTCATGTTGGCAATGTGTTGGCAATTCGTGGGGGGATATTTAAAGATTGTTAGGTGAAGTAGACTTTATTGTATCAGGTAAAGCCTTCCGTTGGCGACGCCATTTATTGGCCAAAAAACCTCGATTCTCTCTCTCTCTATCAGGTAAATCTTCATATAGAATTTATTAAAAAAAATAAATGAAAGTGTTTGGATACCACTTGTTACAATACTGTCATTTTACTACCTCTTCTTCCACATAGCTCTCCATACAGCATATAAGTCTCCTGGTGTCAGATCCTTGTGAAAAGGGTAAACTTTACGAATTGCCTGCCATTTAGAAATTTAAGAAGATAACTTCAGCACTTATGTAAAATAGGTCTTATTTAATTTTCCAGGCATGGTACTTACTCTCATATTGATGCCATACATTCTTACACAATTCGTGAATACAATGAGTTCAGCATAACTAATAAACTGTGAGGAAAAATGGGCATAATGCATTAAATGCATACCTGAGTGAGAGGTAAGCAGTTCTATATCTTGGGAGGGTAAAAATCTGAACACTACTTACAAATTTGACTTTCCGTTTCTCAGGAGACTGCACAGCAGCTGGTTTCACTTCATTCGGAAGATGGGATAATAACATGTCCTTACATGAATCTGTGGCAGGATGATCTATTGGAAACATATTCTTTGACATCGCCAATCCTATTTTTTTAACACGACTAGGATGAGGAGTACCTGGAGTACAAATCGAAGTGGTAAAATACTTAATGAAAATAAATTTTCAAGCACTCAAACACTGTTGATAATTTTAAAAATATAATTGAATACAAAATTTACCACATTTCTTATTGTGTGATTTTTCACTTCTGACACTCAGACTTTCAGCCAATAGCTCTAACAAAAATCTCTGGAGATCAGCAGAAGGGATAAGGGCTCTGTCCTTAGAACTTAGTTGTGTAAGTATATTGTACATGTCATTCACCATTTTAATATCTGGATAGGGAACTCCCCCTTCCAAAATGTGCACGCAACAGGCTATAAGAAATCCTTGTTGATCCTGGTTTTAAAAGTTATCACTTAATTTTCAAAATCATTCGCTCTCACTGCGTTTACTAAAATTAATATTACTTACTGCAGGTGTAACGTGCAGATATCCCTTTAAAATAAAAAGCACTTCCATTTCGTGAGCCTTTTGGCATACTTTTCTGTTATGAGAAACAGCGGAGTCAAGAAGACATACAATACTTGAAAACAGAGTTCGTGCCCAATCGAAAGGATGACTTTTGTAGTCATCCATTAGGTCTGTCATATCAATTTCCTCAAGAACTCTAGAACAAAAGGTAAAATACTTAATGTTAACTTAACTGTCCTACTTATATGATCTTACTTACAATAAGTTATTACCCATTATGAAACAGTTTCACAAAATAAAAACCTGACAAGAACTTCAATGCCACTATTTTCAAGAAATATTTCCTGACAGAGAGCTAAATTAGATATGGTTTCTCTGGATAAAAAGAGCAAATTTTTTAAAATGAATTTGGCTGAAGGATCCTTAGGCCATTGAGACAGATTCCCTAAAACCTGTCCATCAATGAAAAGTTCACATAATATTATTAGCTCGACCCATGCAGTGCAAACTTTGTAAACGTGTCTCAGCTGGTGCCTAACTGAAATTCTTACCATGGGTATTATAAATTTTGAAATGAGAACTTTATTCTGATTATCCTTTTCTGCTGCTAATAGAACCACATCCACTATAGAGAGCAGGGCTTCTTCATCAGTAAGATTCTACAAAGTAAGTAAAATCAACAATTAAAATTAAAGTTTACAACAGAAAAAATGAATTTTCAAAAGCTAATTATGAGATGCATACCCTTATTTCCAAGCTGCATAGCACATACAAAATGTACTCCAGGCATTTTGTTGTGCGCAGTATTTCATGATATTCCGTATTCATACCCATGAGATTTATGATTATTTTAAGGAGAATACCATGATAGTCTGATAGGATGTTACCAGTTTTGGAGATAGCATGTTTAACCTCTTCTATCAATGCTAATCCTACATCCTATAATGACCATAAAAAGTTATGGAAGAAAATAGTAAAAGTACTTTAAGGAGATTTTTGTGGCCATACTTCATTTGACTTCCTTATGGAAATAAAACTAACCAGAGGTAGATCTCGAAAATCTTCTGTCAAGGCTTCTAATATATTTCCAATGTTTTTCGCTAGACTAATTAGATGATGCTGGAGAAGTGGTCGTAAACGCTGAACTAAATCTACTTTATATGGACCAGTTAAGAATTGTGCAATTGGTATCACTCTGGTTTTAAGAGCACGTGAACGTGCGATTACAATTTCTGTGCCATCACAGGAAAGAAGGTGACGCTCTAAGGACATCAAAATGTCATTTATATCTCGTTCAATAGGTTTAACAGCCTCAACAAAATCACCCATTTTGCCGTTGAGCCTGCGACACGACTCGTCCTTCCTCGTCAACGTCAATATTTCCCTCCCTTCATCAGTATCATGATGCCAACAAAACAAAACTGGAAGCTTTTCACCTGGAGTCGGTTTTTGTAAAAAAATATTAGGAGACCTTTGGAAAATTTATCTTACAACAGATTTCTAAATAAAAAGTGGACTAGAGTTTTGAATATTCAGAGAAGAATACAGGTGGAAAGGGCATCCTAAGCTAGAGGCTTTTCAGGAACGGCGGGAAGAAGAGGCAGCCTGCTTTGTCCAGCCACAAATGACATGTCGTAACGCCGTCATTTCGACGTCGTTGGTCGAACTAGAGGGCCAAAAAATACGTCGAAACGATGCATTTTTCGACGAGTCGATGATGTTTCGACAAATGTCGATACGATGTTTCTGGCTCGTTCTGGCTGGGATCTCTCTCGGGTAAGAAAAAACCAAACGAACGGTGTGCTTCCTTGTTGCCACCATCAGCGCGGTTGGCCGAAAAACTCAACGACTCCGACTCAAAAATCGATATAGATCGACAGGAGTCCAACGTGCGTCCAGGAGATAAAGGAGAGGTATGAGACAGCTCCCTCCCAGAAGTTCTTCCACCACCGCTTTAATTTGTTTTGATTCGCTCAGAGGGATTTTCCGGGTAACTCTCTGAAGCCCTCGCCCCCCCCCCCCACACACACACCAGGGAATGCCACGGCATGTAACCCTGGTCATCACTAGATGACCATGCATTATTTTATTTTTTTGTATCCTCCAGAATGTCATAGTCGAGTAATCAATATCTAACACAAACTGGATCCGATCGAATGAATTGGAGTTGTTGATTAATTCAGTCATTCAGGCACTCGGACACGGTTCCCGCAGTGCCAAAGAAATTGTTTTCTGGTCTCCACTTGGTCCTCTTGCCGTATCTAGAGCAATCTAGAGTAAAAGTTAGCTGACACCTGACACTTTAAAGTTACTTACGGTTACTTATATATTATTTATGTTTAGTCAAAGGATTTGAAAGGTATCATCTGCTAAAAATACTACAGGACTCGAAATTTGTAGAAAAATCATGACGCTACTCAGGATTGACGAATAGTTTTTATTTGTTTTCGTCAAATTCGCGTCTACATTTGATGGCAGGCAGAGTGAAAGGTTTCGACAGGCCCAGGCCTCAGGCCTCCGGCCAGACGTGCCTCTCAATCCAAGAGATGTACTTGGAGACTCTCGTGTAGACCCCCGGGGAGTTCCGGGCCGCGCACACCTTGCCGAACGATGTGATACCGACCACGTGAAACACGCACTGATTGTCGCGACTCGTAACTTGCAGCGGGCCCCCAGAATCACCCTGAAAAGGAATAACAGGGTCGACTTAGGGAATTTATCCAGAGGCAACCCACTCAGAAATGCAATATTGATAAATGGTCGATAGTCATCGATCGAAGAAAATTCGAACCGACGTCGATTCGAACTCCCATTTCTCGCTGTGCAAGTAGCCAGAAAGATTCAGGAAATATTATTAGTCGTGTAATGACTGACCTGACACGTATCTTTTCCTCCGTCTAGGACTCCAGCACATAGCTGGGAGTCCCCCACTATCCCCTTGGAGAGGCTCGACGTTGAGGCATCAGCCGAGTAGAGATTGTTGCACGTTGGCTGATCTACCGAATTCAGTATGACTTTTTGAAGAACTTGGCTCCTTTCACCCACTGGAAAAGTGAGAAAACCCTGCATAAACACCGAATACGGTCCCACATACGAGGCAAAATAAATGCGAGTCTATTCATTGAAGTACATTGCTCTGTGTGGCCCCAGCCAGTGGCGATGAGCGGCTCGCCGTTGAAGTCCTCCTCGGCGGCGTCCTCGTCAGCGACGTGCAGGCAGGCGGGACGGACGGCGGCGGAGAAGGGCACCTTCCTGGCCAGGCGGAGGAGTCCGATGTCGTGGTAGCGGGACGGGGGCTGGTAGCCCGGGTGGCGCACCATGCTGGAGACGGCAATGTCCATGGGCCGGGCGCCGTCCTCGGCCGACTCGAGGTTGTGCTCGCCCAGGCGCACGCGCACCGGGGGGCCTCTGTTGGACACAGTAACTTCAGTCAGTTGGCGGGGGTGCGCGGGTGCGGGCCTAGAGGAAGAGGGGTGGGATTCTGGGAGCGGGGATGAGCTCCTGAAGGCAGGCTGGAGGTGGGAGTGGGGGCCTATGGAGGGGTGGGGATCCTTCTGCACTACTCACTGAGCGGTAGCCGTGCAGTGCGCTGCCGTGATCACGAACAGCTCACTGATGAGGGAGCCTCCGCAGTTCCATTCAATCTTCGGCGGAGTCCCAGCTCCCCGGTAGCCGATCGCAGCCTGAGGAGCACACGCAGACATGTGTGATGATCGTCTCATGACGCCTGTAGGTACGCTGTGCCTCACCGAGGACCAAAGACGCGAACCATCGCAGAGAGCAGACTCACCATGTGCGGAAACTCGTGAAGCCTGGCGTCCTGGCCGCCCACAACCAGCGGCACGGAGTTGGAGTCGCACTTCTGGACGTGCTGCACGGAGGGCTTGGGGTCGGGCACCAGAGGCAGCGCCACCACGCGCTCCGTCTGCAGGCGGGCGAACTCGTTGCATTCTGAGAGAGCAGAGTTACAGCACACTGCGCCCGGGCGGACTCAACGCGGTGCTCGCGACGTCTACTCACTCTGCTCGCTGACGCGGGCCCCCTTGGTGTCCTGGCGGGTGCGCTGCCTACTCGGCGGCGTGCTCGAGGGCCCCGGCGGTCCCCACGAGGGAGCCCCCTGGGATCCCCAGCCGGCTCGGTTTGCGTTCAGGTCGGAGGGGCGGAACCTGCTGTTGCCGTACCACCCCGACCCCGGCGGCGGCGGGTCCGCGGAGGGATCCGCGTACGGGCCGTAGGGCCGCTGCACTGCAGAGGCGTCGCTGGCGTTGGCCCGGCGCCCGCGCCCGTCCTGGTCGTACTGCCGTCTGGCCGCAGGGTCGGTGTAGAGCGACCGTCTGGTCGTGTGGTCGTAGCCGTACGGCCGCCTCGTCGTGTAGTCGTAGCGCATGTAGCCGGGCGGTCTCTTGGTGGCGTCGCCCGGCGGCCGGTTGAGCGACGGCCGCGGGGTGGGGACGGCGTCCGGGAACCACACGTCGCCCTCTGACCCCGCCCCGGCCCCGGGCGAGGCGTCGGCGCCACCCTGTCGAGGCCGAGAGGACGAGCGCTGAGACAGCTGGCCGGGGGCCGCGGGGGGCAGGAGGGGG